CTCATTTCCAAGTTGAAAGCGAAGAAGAGTTTCCTAAAGATAAAATTTAGGGGCCATATTTACGGTACTTTAATTATGGTAGAATTAGTGATGCAAATCGAGTATTACATAAAGAGAAACGTAATTGGCCTTATAAGTGCTTTAATAATAAGAAAGTTTCAATCAGAGGGTCATTAGAAGGTAGGTTAGTATTATCGAATGGGAGAACCTGCAAAGGAAAGCCTGGAACCTCGACAATAAATTTCACTTTAGACAATCTCAAAAACAATGATGCTGAGTTGTATACTTCTCTTGCTGGATATACTTATAATAGCTCATATATTGGTAGAAATTCCACAGTTTTAAGATGTTTGGCTAATGGGTTTCAAATTCAAGACGTCTTAGGCTGAGCAAATAATTAACAGGCAAGGATCTGTTTGGAGTATACTCGTGAAAATAGTAACAAACTTACAATATTAGAGTCAACTTTTTGCCATCCCCTTTATATATGCAGAAAAAGTAAAATCAAAGTTTAAAATGTAACTTTATAAATACGTCTGATTTAGCTATCTAGTACAAAAAAAGTTAAAGCGATCAATAAATTTTTCGGTAAAGATATTCAGTCTATTCTTACTGGATTAATAACCTCCAGTGTATAATTATTACTAGGGATTCATTGTAAAATAATGAGTTTTATGGCACGCTTGAATCCTAAGTATTAGCATTATTGACAAGATTTGCTACTGGAAGCTTGAACCATTCGAACATATCCATAAAATCATTTTCATTACTCTCTGATACAGCTTCATCGTCATTCTGCTTGAATTTTTCAATTTTATTATATAGTAGAACATCTAATGAATAGGCATTTAACCTCATATCTGATATAATTCGCACATTTTTTGAGTGACCTTTAACACCATCATTTAAATCCTCATTATCACTATCACTATAACATTCTTGCAAATTCTTAGTTCCCCCATAAAAATTTGAACCGCTCTTTTTAGCGCATAGTTCTTCGTCCTTTAAAAACTTCAATATATTTGCATATCTTAACGAACCTTCCCATGTAATACCCATCTTGCTTAATAAACTAATCAAGTAATCAAGCTCCAGAGGTATATCAGTATGGTTATTAACCGCATTCACAAAAATTAACCTTGCGCATACCCAAACTGCAAATGCATACTGCGGACCACACATTTCATAAACCTCACTACCCATATTGTTAAACATCAGGGGAAAATGTCTTGATAACTTAATTATATGGAATGCAGAATCCAAGCATTTATACCTTGCCAATTCAGACGGAGAAAAATACTCAGAATTAAAGTATGGAAAACCTGGAGTAGAGTTTAGTCTAATGATCATCGTATGATATAAAGCATGAAATATCACATCTTTTATAGTGAATGTATTTTTAAATAAGCAATTATCGTTATCCAACAAGTCTAAAAAATTGCTCGGAATTGTTTTTCTCCAGGAAGAGATTTTCTGTTCCAATTTATCAAATTTTATTTGCCATTCAAAAACATCATTCTCGCTGTGAACATCTAAAGGATGTCTCATAAAGGAATGTATTTCTCCTAAAATATGCATCACTTCAATCAAAAAGCAATTTGAATCGTAAATCTCACCAAAAACAACTTCATTATTTTTGATAAATAGGTTTCTCTTTTGAAGATTTTTAATAGGGCCTTCCATTCCATCTATATTTCCTGAAATCCAAAACTCAAGCCTCAATGGTAATGAACAGCTTATCTCATTCTCAGGAATTTTAAAAGGAAACGAATTAGAAAGGCTAGATAACTTATCCAAAATATAAATTTCCCAAAATAAATTTCTTCTCGATTCCTCGTCCAACCACGTTGTAGGATCTTTTGTAGTATTTAAGTTCTTTATAGAGAAGTACTTGCTGTCTTGTTTCTTGCAATATTTCGAGCCAGTATATTTGTTTTCCTTTGTTAAATTAAGATGTATTGCACCTGAAGATATCATGGAAATTACGCTCCATGTTTCAGGATTATTTGACTTTCCAAACAAATCAAATGCAAGCAAAGTCATTGTTTGTAACTCTTCGATACTGCTAAGACCAATGAAACTTGATATAATTTTTGTTTTACAATAATTATAGTATTTAGCGATTTCCTCTTCTTGAAATATTTTATTAGCAAACCGTAATGAACATAATATTACGCCGTATAATTGAGGTTCGGGTGAGGTTTTCATAGATGCCAATAGCTTTGGAATTGTTGATACAGGATGCAAAATCGGAATTATAGGATGAATTTTATCAAAGAATATTTCAATCAACTTTTCAGCTTGACTTGTTGTGGGAAAGTCTCCTGAATGAAGTACGGTATTAGAATCTTTGATATTGGTTGCTATATCTTTTGTAGACAGGTTTGTAATTTGAACTAAACTTTTCCTACTTGAACTATTATCACCGGGTAATTCCTCCTTGTCTGAATCAATGTTTTGAGGACTAAATGTATCAGTGAAAGATTTACTAGATTCTAATGTCACCATTTTAGCCTCGAGTTCTAATAACTTTTGATTGACCAAATCCATTTCATTTCTTGATCTTGATGATTCTGTATGAAGAGTAGTTTCCATATTTTCCAATTTATCCAAAACATGCTGTCCATATCCAGGTTTTATACCAGGTTTGCGTACTTTACTGTAAATACAAGTTTCGTTATGCTTTATGCAATAATTGCAATTTGGTTTTGATTGATCACATTTAACCTTCTTTGTCTTACAATAGTCACAAGATCTTGAAATTTTCACATTATTATCATACAGAAGAAACTTCGGAGCTTGTAACAGTGCTTTTCCTATTGGCGAATTGGACGATCTATACATAGTAAACAAGTTTGTCTGAAGTTTATATTACTTCCAAAATTGTGCGGAGTTTATTTGAAGGGTGTACACAAAAATTTTGGCAGGCTCTACTAATTAACTGAACATTTTCGGACAGGAAATAAGAACGAAAACACAATCAATATTTTTATTTCTCGAAGCAATTCTAAGTGCATATATATGTGAGCGACGTATTTTGATTCGTGGTATTTAATTATTGCAATTGCAATTGTACAATACTATTGTTATAAAAGATTTAGTTACACACCTAGATATACTAGAGACTTGAAATTACAGGAAATCTAATTAAGCAGATAAATTTCATAAAGTTCTTTCCATCCTGAGTAAAGAGTTAAAAGCATTTTCATGTTTCTTCCAGATATTCATATCCGCCTCTATATTTAATGGAGGTCTTCCAGTGAGTACCTCACCAAAACCGTAGGCAACATTTAATGCATACTTAACACCTACTAGGTTGAGTTCCATAATCATTTGATCAACTTTTGTAACTAAATACTGTAATTCAGCAGCCTTTTCATATTCTTTGTCTTTATATAAACTGAAAATTTTTAACATACATTTTGGAAATATGCCTGATAACCCGTCAATAGCACCAAATGCTCCAATACTTAATGAAGGAACAAGAACTTGTCCTAAACCAGTGAAAGACCGAAAATTGTTGATTTTATTCAATGCTGTATTTCCAGTCAATAATGTATACTTATCCAAATTGAAGTGCGTCAATTTTACACCTACTATTTTAGGATGGAGCAGCAACTTCTCAAAAGTTTCTATTTTAATGTCCACATTATTACTTACCCCTGGATAATTATAAATTATTATCGGTAATGGCAGTTTTTCTGCAATAGTGACAAAATAATCAATAATGCCTTGTTGACTTGTCAATGCAGGGCCAAAATATCCAGGTACTAGAACTATAGAATAATCTGCATGTGCCTCTGAAGCAGATTCAATATCAGCAATTGTATCTTGGATATTCAAAGGTGGAACCCCCGCGATAATTTTGAAGTTGGTATCTGGAATGGCTTCTCTAATACTTTTAAAAAGAACATTTCTTTCATCCCTAGTTAAATGACTAGCTTCTCCCATTGATCCTGCAACGACCAATCCATTTATACCGCTAGAATTTAACATCTTTGCATGTTTTATTTGCGTCTCAATGTCTAAAGAATAATTTGCATCATTTTTAAAGAATGTAGGTACTGGAGAATAAATTCCTTCTGGGATTGTAGTATCTTTACCTGTGGTCATATTAATGTCTTAATAATGTATTTCTACTAAAACATTTTAGTGTATGTAATGGGACTATATATATATATATATATATATATATATATATAG